AAAGATGTAAGAGACAAGCACAAAGGTAGAACAAATGTGAAAATAGTCGAATATGACATAGAGTGAGGTGATGGCAATTTGAAGTGAGAAGTCAACTGCCAGTTAATAGACTTTTTGGCGTATGAGTATACGTTGCCCAGGGTGTACCACGTGGACGTATGAGTATACGTTGCCCAGGGTACACCACGTAGAGGTAAGTCTATTGCATGAGTATACGTTGCCCAGGGTGCACTCCGTGGTGGTATATGAGTATACGTTGCCCAGGGTGTACCACGTGGAGGTAGGTATAGTATACATTGCCCAGGGTGCGCCACGTGGAGGTAAGATAGCTTGAACTCAGAAGTCAACTGCCGGTTTATAGACTTTTTTGTCACATGAGTATACGTTGCCCAGGGTGCACCACGTGGAGGTATGTCATTTGAGTATACGTTGTCCAGGGTGCACCACCTGGAGGTAAGTCTATCGTTGAATATACGTTGCCCATTGTGGACCACGTGGAGGTAAGCCTATCGCACACCCCGCAACCTTTAATATAAATTATGGCAACGTGACGACTCATAATTTTGGGATGTTTTGACAAACGTGCCGTTTTTTAAGGGGAGGGGGTAGTCAAGGTTCATGATTAATTTCATTTTCCTTGCATTTTATTCAACGTCATCAATCACGTGAGTGGAGAATATTCCCTGTGATTGCCTGGTCGTAAGCCCACCTAACTGATTGAAATTGGGAATGCACGTCAATCCTAGATTCTGCAGTGTCGTTTATTCTACTTTGGAACCTTTCCTAGTGCACTTAGGTGACAGCATATCTGTCAGTTCTACGACAAAATTTGTTTGTTCACAAAAAGCTGACCAAAAATCGGCTCGTTCTTTGCACAATCTTCCCTCTGACATTTGTGATTTGTGTTACTTTCTTTCCATTTTACTCGCTTTTCTTCTCTTTTTGTCTTGGAGTCTAACTGTTCTTTGACTTGCGTTCTTAGCTTTTTAATCTCTCGGGCTTGATGGCAGGTTGTGTTTGGCTGTTAAATTGTATGTTGACACACTTCGATGTGTGTGCACTTTTCGGATAGAACTGTCTCTTTCGCCTGATGTGCCATCAGCTGTTTGTGAAAGCCCTCCCCCCCCTCTCCCGGGTATTCGAATTCTTTGCGAGATCACACGCCGCTATGTAGTCAATTTCTTGGGTTCGCCATTCCCAAAATCTGCACTAGACATGCAAACTGGATGGTATTGGAAGTTTTAATTCACTACCTGCTTCCCTCTCGAAGCTCCAAAATGCTCAGATTGTCCAATTTTGATCGAGCGTATTCCACTTCATCTTCCTATTGGAATTGAAGATAATTTCACATCCATTCCTTTTACTATTAGCAGAATGTAAGTAAGAGATAATAATGTTAACGGAATTTTGTGTGTGTGTGTGTGTGTGTGTGTGTGTGTGTGTGTGTGTGTGTGTGTGTGTGTGTGTGTGCAAGTGAATGTTTATGAATTTGGTGGTATCATCTAATACTAATTCACTTACCTGCTTTAGTCCACTTGATTAATGGCATGTCTCCTGTATATTAATAGTCTTACAGCCCTTGTATTCGCCACTGTTCCCTGCTAAGATCATTTTTGTTTGGGTTTTGAGTTTGTTGTGCATATGATTTCACGTCTCTTTTCTCAATGTCTGACACATATTGGCCCAAGTGTCGTTAAGGTAGTATGTACCGTCGCACTAATATAATTTATTTATTATTTATAACAAATGGCAGGCGTTTTGATAGTTATCAATAGTCCCTTAGTTGACTTCGGGCTTTACAGAGGGGTGGAGGAACATCAAAGTGAGAAGAATTCAGGAGGGGGAATAGAAGGGTGTTTCAAAGATGTAAAAGAAACAGACACAAAGGCTCAGAAAGGGTAAGATGAGTAGTGGTAGGGGTCGAACATGACATACAGTGGGGTGATGGTAGTTTGAAGTCAGAAGTCAACTGCCAGTTAATAGACCGTTTTGCCGTATGAATATACGTTGCCCAGGGTGCACCACGTGGAGGTAAGTCTATCGCACACCTCCTAATATAATTTAAAGTTTGACCAGATAGAGATATACCAATTATGATAAATTCGCATTTTTGCCGCTTGAATTGATTATTTACTCTTGATTGCCCCCTTATAAGCCTATTTGTGATAAATTTAGGTGAGTTAAGTTACTAATTCTGATTATTTCCCCCCCCCCCCCAATAAATTTGTTTCTTGTTTCTTACTGTGTGCCTTCTTCAAATGGTATTTGCGGAGGAAATGTCAACTCATTCACTCGCACTTAACTTGGGGGGCTGTAAACAAGCGAATGTCTAAATTTGTCTGACATTTAAATGACAAAACGTAGTATGGCTGATACTTTTTACTGCATTTTGGCAAATTTCTAAACTTCTTATTTCTATAAGTAGTTTGTGAGTCTGGTTTATCCACTATAAGTGTTGAGGTTACGATGCAGGATCTACCCTGCTCAAAATTTTGTAGATCTTCTTCAAAGAGTATTGCAACACTAGCTATAAAAATGTAATCTAGTCTCCAAATTCTAAAATTGGCCATCGAGGGATAAGAATTCAGGAAGTTTGTTGAAGTTCGTTCATTGTTCCTCATCCTTCCCATTCTTATCATTGATTCGTTGGCCAAGATACGGATGGATGCCTATTCATTTTCAAAATTTATTCCTTTGTCTCATTCTTTATGAAGGTGAATTGGTTTTTCGCCTTTGTGTTCATCCGATTCAAGTCCCTCTGTTGTTTTTGTTTTTTCCCCGAGACCCTCCAGTTTTATTGGCTAGTAAACCTCCACCCCATACTTTCACTCGTGTCCCCGCCTAATTGCCCCATGAGCCGTCTGCACTTTCGTCTCACACGCACATTTGTGCACCTCCCTATCATCTCCCCACCCCATCTCTTTCTCTCTCTTAACCCCCCCCCCCCCCCCCCAATCTATTCCATACACTTTGGCCTTCACAGCGCGTTGTGTTCCACTTTGTGAACAAACTGATGGAACTTTGTCACCGATCCCCAGTATTAGTCGAAGGTCTATACACGAGGAACGAATTCCATTCACAGAATTTTATGCTATCGGTTTCGTTTACCCAGAAATATTCGCTTCTGTTAGCACTACAGTACTTGTGGCGTAAAATTGCGTTGTGGGTTTGTCCGATGGCCTTAGTCATAGAGTTGCATCATGGTACCCGATGTGTAAGGCTTTTGGCGTTCCCCAAGGAGTGCCTGTGCCTCGATTGGGGGAACGATTTAGTGTGTTGTATGTGTGCGTGTACGTAAAGCCTGACTGACTTTTTTGGTGGGTTTATGTATATGCTTGACGGATGTGTATGCAGATTGGGATTGTGGATAAAAGTGACTGTACCTTCAGTCTGGTTACAACGCACAAATCACTTATCCGCGTTTGTTTACTTTCTCTCCTCTCTGCGCCTATCATAATGCTTTCCCTTCACACGCTCGCCTCCCCCCCCCCTCCCTCCACCTTAATCTTCGTCCAATTGGGCACTTTCTTGTGGCTGTGATGGTGGAAGGTGGTGGTAATGGTGAAGTCTCATGACTAGTCATTGTTCCAGTTTTGTGTGCTTATGGCCATGTTGATAAAGTCCAATATCTTGGAGCGGGTGGGGGGGGGGGGTCACTGTTGGTTTAGAATCCATTACATCCTATTAGTTGACCTTCAAAAAATATCATAATTTGACATTTGCGATGGCTAAAAAGAGAATACGATGTCACACCCCCACCCTGCTAAGTCTCACTCAAATAGAGCTTTTAGTGCGCCTTCTCAGTGCACTCAAAGTGGAGATTGTGGAAATGCACTTTCATTCCTTGGGCCTGAAGAGTAGTGCCTTTATTTTAGATTTCTAAAAACAACAACAACAAATTCGAATCGGATCTTAAATGCGCTCAGTTGTCAAATTTCAGTAGTTAGAATATTGTCCATCGAAAGTAATCAATGAAATCAATTTGGCCACTGCCTTGTTTCAGCTTTCCCTTCCACCTCTAACCGTGGAAAGTGCTTTGAAAAAGATGTAGCGCACGTGGTTTCTTCTCACGGGCATGATTTTTTCTCGGCATTAGATTTTTATAGGACATCGGCGAGAACCGCTTGATTTATTACGTCTGTAAAGTGAATTGTGTTTGAAGGTGATGGTGGTGGTGGTGGTTGTAAAAAGTGGTGGCGGTTCCTACAACAAGGCGGAAGTGAACCTAGTGTCATTTCAATTCGCGCGCAGGTTTTGATGGTGTATCACTTTGGTGGGAATTGCGAAACGGTATGCATTTTCTAAACTCTCACTAGTGCTGTGATTAGTCCCATGTGTTTTTTTTTCAAGTTTGAACCCACAAGTCTGTCGTGTAGGCCATTTCTCCTACACTCATCTTGAATTGTGGTGTGATATCAACGGACTTCACTGGTTAGCCATCTTATTATCCAGATTTAATCTGCATGATGGGTCATTTCCTTCATTGATTTTACGTCGAAATTGTGACACCTACCTTTTTTTAACCATTCTCAACGTGGACTCCCCCCATGATCCGAATGAATAATTGCCAATCGCTGACAGTCAGTATGGCAAGCCGGATGTTTTTTACCAGCTTAGGCTTTAGACTTGCAGTTTCTCAAGTACTCACTTTTTTTCTGGCTTCAGAATTTACTCCGTTAAGTCTAATCCGTCTTTGTTGATTCTCTTCTTACTAATTAGATTAAGTGAAATAATGCATGATTTCAATTTTGAAATTGCAATTTCGAATCGTTAGGTTTGGCTTCTGCCAAGTGGGCCTCTTGACTTACGGACGCTGTTTGGTCAATTTACCCCCTTTTGCGTACTCTTTCCTCTTTGGCTGTCAGTTAGCCACAGTTGGGTAATCATATTTATCATACCATAATAAGAGTTGATTTTCTTTTGCTCCAAACCCCCTCCCCCCCCTCCCCCTCCCCTCCCCGCCCTCTTCACTTCAACAGTCGAAGTGAAATTATCTCCCACACGCCTTCTCCCAACTCTTTACCTATCAATGTTTCCACTTGACGTTCCCCCCC